CTCCCTGATGGTCGCATGCACCTTGTGAGGTAGTCACCAATTTTTAGATATGGTTCTTTCAGCACTTTCCATGCACTGTTTCGGTGCTTGAATAATACTTGAACACCATCTTCATCAAACCTGCAGCGTTCTATCTCACCGTACTTTTCAAATACTGAATTCACAATCGTCCTATTAGTCATGAAATAGGGGCCAATGCGGTAAGCTGCGATATGTCGAAGAGTCGGATCAATCTCAGCGTGCTTGTAGAGGCTCGCTAGTATAGTTGGGGTTTTCATTAGTCCTTCCTTCACTAATGAAACCAGGTTGTAAGTCCCTAACGCTTCCAGAAGCTTCTCGAGAGGCTCCTCTTCTTCTTCCTCAGTGGTGGAGGAGGTGGCGGCGTACTGATTTTCTGGTAACTTATATTGATATCTGAATTCGCATCCCAACGCAGGAGCTTCATGGGGCAATTGCAACCAGCGGGAAGGATTGGGGAAGCGCCAAAGAGAGGACAGTATGCACCTGACATAGCTGTCGCCGATCTTATGGGACGGCTCCTTCGCTGCCTCCCACGCCGCCTTTCGCTGCTTAAAGGTAATGTAGCCTCGGCTCTCTGCTTTCCCATCTATCTGATAGACATTGATGGTGCAATTTTCAATTTCTCCATATCTTCCAAAGAAAGAATTCAACGTCTCAGAAGTGAGAGCGGTCTGCCTTCCAAATTGGGACACGAAGATCTCTCTTTGGGCGGGATCAACCTCAGCCAGATTACGAACCCTCTCAATCAAAGGAGGGTTTCATTTTTTTCTGTAACTAAAAACACCATGGTACTGTAAACAGGAAGGATGTTTCCGGAACACAACACATTGAAGCCTTCTACAACGACCTAGTCACCACACATGTACCCTCTCTCAATCTCTCTCTCACATGATGTTTCCATTACAATTTTTGTGGTTTTCATTTTGCTGATGTGAGCTCAGATACTAACTTTTATTTGACTTGGCTACTCAGGGATCAGCGAAAAATTTACCCATATCGTGCACTTCAAAAATGAGACCTGGTTTGGTAAGAGTTGTTTGGTATCTGAATCGTTTTGTTCCTTATTCCCTATTTTCTTGTCAATTGTACCAATACATCTCAACAATGTTGCAGTGTTTTTTCCCCCAAAACATGGCTCAGCAAATTCAAACACCACTTTTTCTAGTAAACGCAGCCTACGATTCATGGCAGGTTAGCTCATCCCTACAAATCAACAAAATACTCAAATTTACGCGATTGTTATATCATAGAAGTGTGAAACTAAGAATATTTGAATTTTTTTCCCAGTTTCATACAGTTAGTGATAGGTGCCATTACCGTGCTGAAATTTTTGATAAACTGACGATAAAAAGTTGCCAGCCCATGAAAGCTGCGAACTTCATGCAAGGAGGTTGGAATTGGCCACTCTAGGATAGCTTTCACTTTACTTGGATCGGCTTCCACTCCTTTAGACGACACAATGAAACCCCAAAATACAACCATTGGACTCATGAAAGAACACTTCTTTACGTTAATGTAGAGCTTCTCTTGGCGGAGGACCCTCAAAACTTGTTGAAGATGAAAGATATGTTCCTCCTTGGTCTTGCTATAGATTAGAATATCGTCAAAATAAACAACCAGGAAGTGACCAATGAAAGGCTGTAATACCTGTGTCATAAAGCGCATGAATGTACTTGGGGCATTTGTTAGACCAAATGGCATGACTAGCCACTCGTAGAGGCCATCCTTGGTCTTGAAAGCTGTCTTCCATTCATCTCCTGGCCTTATACGTAACTGATGGTAGCCACTTTTCAGATCAATCTTTGAGAATAGACAAGACCCAGCCAACATGTCCAACATATCATCAAGCCTCGGGATAGGGAATCGATATTTGATTGTAATCTTGTTTATAGCACGACTATCTATGCACATGCGCCAACTACCATCCTTCTTGGGTGTAAGCAAAGCTGGAACAGCACAGGGACTTAAACTTTCACGAATGAACCCCTTAGATAGTAGCTCATCTACCTGCCTTTTAAGCTCTGCGTGCTCCCGTGGATTCATGCGATAGGCTGGAAGATTAGGCAATTGTGATCCAGGAATGAGATCTATTGCGTGCTGGACATTGCGCATGGGAGGTAATTCATCTGGGAGTTCTTTGGGGGCAACATCAGAAAAATGGGACAGCAACTTGGCTACTTCTGTCGGCAATTCAGAGACAGATTCAGCAGCTAAATCTGACACTTCTTTCACCACCACGGCATATATAACTCCCAGTTCCATACTCTCAGCTTGAAAACACTTCTTGGTGAGAATATTGAGAGATTTTGGCTTATTTTCAGTGACATCCTTTGGCTTCTTTTCCTTGAATTTTTCCATTTCAGCTGTAGTCATTGGCTTCAAAACAATCTCCTTGTTCTTGAATGAGAAAGCATATGTGTTCTCTTTTCCAGAATGCTGCACATCTCTATCATAAAGCCATGGTCTTCCAAGAAGGATATGTGTGACATTCATGGGAATTACATCACACCAGATAGAATCATTATAAAAACCATACGAAAAAGAGACTAGGCAGCGCTGAGTTACCGGAATGGACGTGTTATCGATCCAAGCTACCTTATATGGATGAGGATGTGGTTGAACAGGAAGCTTAAGACGCTCCACCGTGGTTGCAGATACAACATTCATGGAACTACCACCATCGATGATAAGCTTCCTAGCTTGGTTTCCGCAGCGAACCAGCATTTGAAAAATAGAAGTACGCCTCCAGTCTTCCTTTTCAGTTTTTGGCGCTGCAAGGATACGCCTGACAACAGAAATCAGAGAATTGTCCACCTCTTCATCTTCTAAGTCATCTGTATTTAGTACCCCAACATCAAAGGAATCATCATTATCATCATTGTTTTGTTGATCGAATTCAGCTTCTTGCTCCACTGCCATATGTAAACTCCTCTTTGGACATTGAAATGCCATGTGACCAGATTCACCACACTTAAAGCACTTGGTTTCCTTCCTGTTTCCTTTGTTAGCTGCATAATTCTTCCCTTTTGGGTCAGCCGTATTGACAGAAGTTTGCTTTGAAACATTGGACCGGAAACGATTTGCATCATTGTACCCCTTAGTTATGGTTTCCCCAACTTGAGACACAAACTTTTTAGAAATTGGGTAGTTCAAATACTCCTCCATATCCAAAGCAACTTGGAAGGCATGTTCGAGACTGTACAAGGGTTGGCGAAGCAACTCCCTTCTTATGTCGGGCCTCAAACCAGCCTTAAACCGAGCAAGAGCTTGACTTGAATCTTCCATAATTTGACTCCTCATCTTTAGCTCATCAAATTTCTGCATATATTCAGCCACTGTCATGCGGTTTTGCTTTAATTCAATCAGTTGTTCACACAACTTCTCATGGTAATTTGATGGCATGTATTTCTCCTTTAACTTGGCTTTCATCTCCTGCCAAGTACTAATTGGTGGCTGCCCCAACCTTCGAATATCACCTTCCACACCCATCCACCAGATTTTTGCTAATCCAACAAGCTTCATTTTAGCAAATCTCACTCGCCGATCGTCAGCCATATCGTACCAGTCAAAGTACTCTTCAATAGAAGCAAGCCAATCATGAAACAAAGTAGGATTGACCTTACCTTCAAAATCTGGAACCTCCATTTTAATCTTCTTAGTGATATCTCCGGCTGAATCATAGGTCTCATATTGGTTCCTTTGCAATAAATCATGGGCCCAATCAGACATGGAATTTTGCTGCCTTCCCTGATTTTGGCCAGCCCTTAATTGCTGCCTTTGTAGCGGATCTACACGCTGCTCTTCCGTGCGCTCGCCTTGATTTTCGCCATTTTCATTAGTATTGTTATTCCCAGAGTTTTCTCCTTGTTCACCATCGTTAGGTTGAGTTGTTTGGCCTTCCAAAGTATTGATGCGTAGACTAAAATTATCTATCTGCTCCACAAGCTTTAGCAGAATCTCGTCACGCTGGTAATCAGTTAATCTTCCCCTAAATGGCTTTCCGGATCGTGTAGACATGATGCTACTCTCGCTCTGATACCAAGTTGATGCAGGACAGATTCGAAATAGGCCTAAGTATGAGCAAAAACACAAATAACAGGGCTGTTTTTGGGGTTGTGAACAGTAAATATGAACAGTAGACGTGAACAGTGATTTGTAGGGCACAGACTAAAATTATCTATCTGCTCCACAAGCTTTAGCAGAATCTCGTCACGCTGGTAATCAGTTAATCTTCCCCTAAATGGCTTTCCGGATTGTGTAGACATGATGCTACTCTCGCTCTGATACCAAGTTGATGCAGGACAGATTCGAAATAGGCCTGAGTATGAGCAAAAACACAAATAACAGGGCTGTTTTGGGGGTTGTGAACAGTAAATATGAACAGTAGACGTGAACAGTGATTTGTAGGAAGTAGAGGAAGGGTTAAAGAAGGATAGATCTAGATATCACACCTAGAAAACCCAAGGCATCACACCAATGGGCTCTTTAGCATCACACTAAAGAAAGATTGCATCAGCACAATCATAGAAGCATAAGCTTAATTTTCATTCATTCCATTCATAAATTGCCACAAGACTTACAATATACAATATAATTTATAAAGATTAAAACTAAGACTTATAAAAGAAATGAGTTTCTCTCCATTTCTCTCTATTTCTTCTCAGTTCTCTTTACTTAAATTAACCAAACAAATGAGAGAAATACAAATTACTCTATTTCTTTTCCTTCTCTCTCCAAATCACTCCATCCAAACATAGTGGCCTCGTTTGGAAAGTGACTATTTTAGTAGGCTATTTTAGTTTTTGACTATTTTAGTAGGCTAAAATTTTTGTGTTTGGAAAGATGATTGATTTTTTTTGTGATTAGATGCGATATTTATAAGAGAAAAAGTGAAATAATTATGAATTTGATGTGATATTTTATCTTATTAACTATTTTAACCTATTTTATCTTTTTGTGATTTTTAGCTTAACCGATGCTATTTTTTTTCTTCCCAAACCCCCAAGTGTAAAATATTTCCCCCCTTTCTTCTTCTCCTTCTCCTGTCTCTGTGCCCTATCGCTCTCACTCTCGCACACTCTCAGTTCACTCCGTTTCAAATCGCTCCGAAAAAACTGGTAAGTTTCTTCTTCGATTGCGTCTCAGTCTCTACATTTCTTCAATTTTCAGATTTTCTTCTTCCTTTTTGTTATCCCGATTATTAGTTTGAATGAAAAAAGAAATCAGTTTGTGTTATTTTTATAATAATTTATGGGTTTTAAACTGCGAAATGTATTTCAATCACTACCATTTGGTTATTTCTTTCTTCTAGGGTTGTTTGGGCTTTGAATCGCCAAATACATTGCTATTGTTTAGCTATATTTGGGGGAAACTTAAATGTTCCTCATATTTACAGTTTTGTTTTCTCTTTGCATGGTAAATAAGATTAGCCTTAAGAAAAATAAGATTATTTTTTTTTTAATTTATAAATTTTAGTGAAGCATTGTGTTTATTTAAGCTCTATTTATCATGGAACCTAAAGATTTCTTTATTTTGGGTTACTAATAAATTATTGAGCCAGTCTTGCGGCCATCATATAGCGATCATGATTTCTGCTCTGTAATTGAAACTTATTGGTTTGTACATTAGGGGAAAAAAATAACCAAACAATAAATTTTATTTTTTTTTAAAAAAAAAAGAGAGAAGAAAAGAAAGAAACAGTCAAAACAGTCAATTGTGTTATCACTTTGAGAAAAATTTAGTTGGTAACTTTAATAATCCCAGTTTATTGTTAGTCTCACTACAGAGAGATTGGTTTTTAAGTTTTGTAGTGATTGGAAAATCTGTAGCTAGCTGTAATCGTTTTATCTGGATATTTGAAGCCTTTCCGCATCATGGTTTTCTTGTTTTTGTCAGGTTTTGATGGCTTGAATTATTCTCTGAGTGCTTCTCTTGGTGGTTCATCGGCAACTCCGGTATATATATATATATATTTTTTTAAAAAAGTTTTATAGCTTATTTATTGGAGCTTGAGGTTGGGAGTAAATTTCATGCATGGGGGATGTTGGGTGGGGTTCTATTCACAATATTTTAGTTCTAAACAGTGTGATAATAAGTAGCATGTCCCTTTTTTGTAATTAATAATTGGTAATTATATTGTTCATCCATGTTTTTATTAAAGAAAAGGGGACTAAATTTTGTTTGGTTAACACAAATGTTGTAACTTGCATTGTGGTTGTTTAGATGATTTGTAAAGGTCTATACATGCCAAAGTGGAAGTGCTAAAAATGGGTAGTTCAGAGAGTGGGCTGCCAGGAAGTGGACTTAGTGAAGATGGCGATGGGGTATTTTTTCTTCAATACAGAAAAATGAGGGCATTTTTGTTTTTAACACTAAAAATGAGGGTATTTTTGGCTATTATGCATGGATTTCAATCGTGTTCATGTCTGTATATATAAAATAAGGGCAACCTAGGCAATTCATTTACAATCAACTTGCGAAAGGGAGAATCATGAATAGAAAATTGAACTAGATAGTACGTCAGTCTCATTTAAAAAATGGTAGGTGAGGTTTCTAGAATTACCATCAACGTCAAGAGAGGTCAATGTAATTTATCTTCAATTTCTAATGGCAATTGACAGAAATATTTACATTATTTTCTTTCTCCTTCCTTCAAGACGTGCAGTACCTTGACAAAGTCATTACTGCAATTAAAATTTTCTCATCTATTTTTCATATTTGGATTAAGTATGAAATTTTTTGCATGGTTCGTAATGCATTTTTATTTTGATGAAATTATGTGATGCATTTTTTTTTTATGTTTCTGTCATAGGAAATCTGTTTTTGTTTTGTTTTTTTTGTTTTTTTTTTGTGTTTTTTGTCTCAATATGCATCTTACGTAGTTTTCTCCCATTATTACCTTTCTCACAAAATCTAGGGAAATGTAGGTGCATTGGAATATTTGGAATTCTGTTTTATAAAATATTGACTTGGAGATAAGCAATGGCACCAAATCCAAGAGTTGCGAGAGCATTTCGTGCTATGAGGAGTACTGGCATCATTGAAGAAAAAGTGAAACCAGTCTTGAAAAATCTTTTAAAATTGTACGACAAAAACTGGGAACTTATTGAAGAAGAAAATTACAGAGCCCTCACAGATGCTATATTTGACCAAGAGGAGACACAGGTGCGTCCCTCTCTCTCTATCTCTCCCCCTCTCTCATGTGTGTGTTTTGTCTTACCTGACAGCCTTCTTTTTTTGTTAGTCAGACTGTTTGGCTCCTTTATTTTTATTAGTTTATTCCACCTGTTTATTTTAAAATTTTCAAACAAAGTTCATTTGATTCATCTTTCAGGCGTCAGAGTAAAAGAAGAAACATGAAAACAGCGATGTATGTGGCCTATCATCATATTTGTACTGATTCAAGATGCTGTTATCTCACTTCCACATATGATATATTCACTTACTGGTTTTAATTATTGACTATTTTTTTCTCTTTTTTTCCCTCCCCTTTTTTATTTTTTTGTCTGAGACTAGCAAGAGGAAATGGATGAAGAAGCTCCGACGCATGAGGAGCCCGAACGTCCCCTAAAAAGGTTGCGCTTAAGGAACCAGAATGATCATGTTTCACCTTCTTTTGGATTGGGTGAAACTTCATCAAGAGGGCCACCCAAAGTGGAGGCTGATCTGCCTGAGACTTGTCCCGAACAACGGTCACAGGATATGACAGAGTCACCACAGCCACTTGTTAGAAGCAAAAGAAAGCAACCTGTCTTGCCTAAGCCCGTGTCAATACAGGATAGTTTTGAGCCATCTCAGCCAGGTGCTGCTGACAGAACTGAGCCATTTGCTACAAGGAGAACTGAATCTATTTGGTTTCTCCTCCAGTATGTCTCACGGGAAAAGGAAAGGAACCTCTCTTACCTCAAATTGCTCCAAGAATTTCTGTGAGGTCGCCTCATGCAGTGCGCTTGAAAGAACTAACGGTTAACACTGGCATTGTCCTTTCACCCAAGCCGCACGTACATGATTCTCGTGCTTTGATCAAGCCTAAAGATGAGCCATTTACTGATGACATACTGCAGTCAGAGGTTCCTAGTGCAGTGATTCATGGAGGTACATCTTGTTTCCTGTGGTTGACCTGTGATAATTTTAAGTGCTTATTGATGACTGGCATCTTATAGCAAAATGTTAACTTTCACAGTATCTCTGCATAGCTGGTCTGTACCCTTTCAAGCTTGTTCAGTGGACTTGTCTCTGGGCTTTGTCACATAAAAGTTGTTGGCCTTTGTTGGTTTATGTGATCTATAAAAGCTTTCTATTTAGTGACTTCTATGGTTGATTATTTTAAAATAGTAGGAATGAGTCTTACTTGAAGTTATCAAATATTTGTGTGAAATCTTTCATTTTTGAAGACATATCTATCCCAACAGAACCTTGCCCCAACAAATTTTGATACGCTGCTAACATAGATAATTTATTAAAATTTATATTGTTTGATAGTGATATGTCAATGAATTTATTGATAATGTTGTTAGTGTGTTCATATCATTGAAGGTCAGTTATATCAATGTTGTTCAGTTATTGGATATAACAATTTATATGATCAGTAAATTTTCCTTCTTTCTCTCTCTCTCGGTGATTAACATACACAGACAACTAGTATCTTTCAACTAATGATGGTCAGCTTTGTTTCTTCAAATTTTACAGAGCCATTAAGCATAGAAAATTCTTCAAGTGCAAATGGCTCAATTGGAGCATCTGATGGTCCTGAACATGTTGTATCCCAATCTGTAGATGGGGAAGCTAGAAATGATAGTGTTCTAGCTTCATCAAATGAAAGGACTATCCCAACAGAACCTTGTCCCAACATATTTTGATACGTTGCTAACATAGATAATTTATTAAAATTTATATTGTTTGATGGTGATATGTTGATGAATTTATTGATAATGTCGTTAGTGTGTTCATATCAATGAAGGTCAGTTATATCAATATTGTTCAGTTATTGGATATAACAATTTATAAGATTAGTAAATTTTCCGTCTCTCTCTCTCTCTCTCTTGGTGATTAACAAACACATAGACGACTAGTATCTTTCAACAAATGATGGTCAGCTTTGTTTCTTCAAATTTTACAGAGCCATTAAGCAAAGAAAATTCTTCTAGTGCAAATGGCTCAATCGGAGCATCTGATGGTCCTGAACATATTGTATCCCAATCTGTAGATGGGGAAGCTAGAAATGATGGCGTTCTAGCTTCATCAAATGAAAGGAGAACTGCTTGCAAGCTTGCAAACAATGTGGATGGGTCTTCTTCTAACTTAGATGTTGCTTCCTCACACTATGGAGAGGTGAAAATTTCTTTGACCTGTAATTCTACTCTTGGAAAAATCTGCTTTCAAAATGGTGGACGATAAATGTCTTAGTCTTAGATCATATGAAGTCCAAGACCCAAGTTTTTATGTGATTAAACTAATGAAAGATATGCTTGAGTATTTTCAGGAACTGGGAACTGACTCTGCCAATAAATCACAGGAAACAATTATGCCAGCTATTGATTTATTGAAACAATCTAATGCACTGGATGCTTTGGGTGCTAGAGTAAAGCCATTTGGTGCTTCTAATGGATCAGTCATTACCCCCCATGTGCTGTTGAAGTAGCACAGTCTCAAATTCCAAGACTTCCATCATCATCCAATGGGATAGATGACTGCACACAAACTGATAAGAATACTATTGAGAACATCGGTGAAATTGATGAGGAAAAGGAACAGAATAGTCTTGAGCATGCAAATCCTCATAGTCTGTTGGCTCAGCAGCCTGATGATATAAAGTCTCTTCATGATGCTAATGACATAGCCAAAGGACAAGAAAGAGTTGTGATTTCATTGGTAAATGAAGTCAACAATGAGTGTCCACCATCCTTTCACCATATACCCAAAAATGCAGTTTTTCAGAATGCTGATGTCAATTTCTCTCTGGCTCGGATTGGGGAGAATTGTTGTTCGATTTGTGTTGGCGATTGTTTATCATCATCGACACCTTGTGCTTGTGCAAATGAAGCTGGTGGTGATTTTGCATACACCTTAGAAGGCCTGGTTAAAGATGAATTTTTAGAAGAGTGTATTTCGATGAATCGCGATCCTCAAAAGCACTGCCACTTTTATTGTAAGGAGTGCAAACTGGAAAGATAAAAAAATGATGATATTATAGAACCATGCAAAGGTCACTTAGTGAGGAAGTACATAAAAGCGTGTTGGGGGAAATGTGGCAGCAGCAAGCAATGTGTTAATAGGGTGGTACAGTGTGGTACAAGTTGCAATTTGCAGGTGAGAATTTGAGCCAAAAATATCAGGTTTATGTATTTATTAATTATTATTATTATTATTTTAAATTGGAGTTTTTTGAGAACTTTGAATTTTGAAAAAGAGTAGTAAACCTTACCAATTTTAGCACTTGAACCATGATATGAAATGAGTCGATAAAGCATAAATCAAATTTCTAAAATAATAAAACAGGCTATAAATGCACAGTATGTGACTCTCCCAAGGCAAGCTCTTGAAGCAAAAAAATCCAAGATTTTAGTTTTTTTTATGAAGTTTTGTAAATAAACTTGCTTCAATAAGATCTTCTTGTTAGTTTACATGTAATTCTATGACTAGTGCGCTCTGTTTTGCTCCCCCTATCCCCAGGTTTCAGGTGTTTATGACTCCTAGAGGAAAAGGATGGGGTCTTCGTACCCTAGAGGACCTCCCAAAAGGTGCATTTGTATGTGAATATGTTGGTGAAATATTAACCAATGCAGAGCTCTTTAAGCAAGCCTCGAAAAGCCCCAGCAGTGAGGAACATGCATATCCTGTGCTGCTCGATGCTGATTGGGGTTCAGAAGGAGTCTTAAAGGATGGTCTTTGTTTAGATGCAACACATTATGGAAATGTTGCAAGGTTTATTAATCATAGGTAAGTTCAACAAAACACAGAACCGCATATGCCCTTGTGGCTTCCTCTTAATTATTACTGTGTTCTGATCCCTGCTGGCCGTTCTTGAGTCGTTAACATATTGGTTTTACACTGAAATTATCATTACCGATGTGTATATGTATAATAAAGACACTACCTGGATCCTTATTGATACAAGGAATTTTAGATTATGTTTCATGACTTGTAATTTTTAACTTCACTTTACAATAGAAGAAAGGGAATCGGTCTCGGTACTTGCAATAAAGAAAAATTCAAACAAAGGAAAAGGAAAAAGAAAAAGAAAGAGTCCAAGGTAAGATATAGAGAGGACCAAAAAAATAATTATGGGTGGCAACAGATTGAGTCTTTAACTAATCTGGCTTTTTCATGTGATGCCCCTATGAATTAAGCCTTGAGCCTTTGGAAGTTCAATTTATATCTGGTGTTGAAACATACCATTTCATGACTTGTAACTATCTAGATTTCTAGATTTTCTTCAAACTGTATTTTTGTTCTCTCTCTCTCTCTCTCTCTCTGTGTGGCACTTGCATTTAGATTGCATCCTATCATTTTTTGCATTTACATTTTAGTTTACATCTCTGTCATCTCTCTCTGCTTATCTTCTTCTACTTCTTTTGGTGTTTTCTGAAGTTGAATCTTCATTTGGGTTTTAATATTTCATAAATTTATTTCTTATTCCTCTAGATGTTTCAATTCAAACTTGGTTGAGATACCTGTGGAGGTGGAGACCCCTGACCATCATTATTATCATGTATGGATCTCAGATACTTCTGCACATCCTTCTCCCTCTGGCCATAACTTGTGGTGCTGACCTAATCATTTATAGTCTGGAATGTAATATAGTTTGTGCGTCTTCCCTTTATGCAGCTTGCCTTCTTCACAAGCAGAAAGGTGCAAGCATTGGAGGAACTTACGTGGGTAAGTTAGTTTTCATTAGATTATGTTTTGAAGTTATTCATGCCACAGTGTGGTTGCGTACTTTCACTTAATATATTTTTATATATATACTGTTAAAATCCACCTACTCTCCACCTACTTCACCCACTTAAACCTACTCCACTAAACCTAACCCACTACACCACTACCACCTCACCTACTCCACTAAACCTAACCCACTACACCACTATCACCTCCACTTCACCTACTCCTTACCTACTACACACTCACCCTCTTCTATATATATAGGAATCATGAATCATTGTAATATAGATCAACTACAACATTATATCAATCAATAATAATACATACAATTTATTCTCTCTCTTTCTCTATACATTATTTCTTACATATACATACTAGTAGGCGTGCACCACCATATCGGTGTGCTTAAAATGGGTAGTTAGAAATCTATGGTGTAGTTGAATCCAGCAATTGCAATTGTAGTCATAGAAGGGCATTTTTTATTTGAAGTAAGCGAACATATTTTCATGAGGTTAGGCTTTGTTTATCAAATTGTTTTGAAAAGCTGAATGTGCTGTGAATTTGGAAGTAGTCATCAATGTGGATGATCACAATTATGGAGGTATCCCCATCAGTACCTTGTTTAACCTATCAGGCACTCACGACTTCATCTCCAAAGAGTCTAAAATATGCTTGAGGTATCTAAAAGAATCATTTCCCTGAAGACCCTGAATGTGTTCAGGTGGATGTGTATTACCATTTACTTGATTGATGAAGTTACGTAAAATCTTCTGAAGCTGTGAAACATAGCCTAAGCTTTACTATATATGTCATATAAGAAAGAGGTTGGCAGATGGCACAAACATTTTGACATGTTCTGGCATGCCGTTTATGAATTGTATGACTCTTATCTGATTGTGAGGTTTAATTAATGGTTTCACAAAAAATGGCCTGTTATTGTTGCCTGTATTGCACAGTACAAATCTAGTCCGCTTGGAATATTTGCTAATGAGTTTATACATCGTGCTACAAGAGCATACATTCAGTTTTCCCTCAAAAAATTTTTCAAAACCAATTGTGTGCTTGTATACTTGTTTACTTTGCTTGGAACTCAAATAACAAATTATCGATGCTTATTATTTAAGCTTGGTTGATGCATAAAAAAGAGTTTTTGGGGATTTGTTTTTGTTTTCTTTGTGAAGCTGATAAATGTGATGTGTCTGCAGGATTATGGTATCGATTTCGATGATCATGATCATCCAGTCAAGGCATTTAAGTGCCGGTGTGGCACCAAGTTCTGCCGAAACATCAAACGCTCGAGTAGTAAGTGCTTACCTGTTGTAATGCACGAAGTTGTGTTTTCTTCTTTTTTTTTGGCATGACTAATTTGGCCTTGTTTTCTCATTTGAATGATAAAATATCTTTATAGTAGTTTGCTTGGGCAAGCTTGTGAGCATAATCTAGTCCACTTTGGTCCTTAAAAAAATGATCCTCCCACTTTGGTCCTTGCACTCCTTTTATCTTCTATATATATGTACGTAGCGTAATGTTGCACTTCTTGACGTGCCTGTGTTCTACTTTATCTTTCCATACTGGTAGGGCTGCAAATGAACAAAGCTGTTCGTGAACAGGCTCGAGTTCGGCTCGGTAGGAACTTGTTCGAACTCAGTTCGTTAATTTTTTTTTTGCGTTCGAGCTCAAGCTCGAGCGCGTTAAATTTTTAATAAACAAAGCCTAAACATTCCAAAGCTCGGCTCGTTAGCTGGCTCGTTTAATATTTATTATTTATATATTAAATAATATAAAAATATGTATAAAAAATAAGATAAATATGTTATTTA